ATTTCCTCCTCAGACTTTAAATTTAGCTCTCCCCTCCTGCCCCCTGCTCATCTTTAATTCCTTCATCGATTTTCATTAAACTCTCCCCTTGGCTCCAGCACAGAGTGAACTCCTGATTTGAAAAACTAAAACAGGAGGGAGGGGGAGGGGATGAAAGGAAGCTCTGTTGAAGCAAGACGGTCTCTGGTCTCACGGCTGGAAGAAGCGACTCCTAGGACTCTTGGAGGCTGTGTCTGAGGCTGTCTGAGCATTGGGCTTTGAGAGCCCCCACCCTGTGGCCCTAGATGTGAAGATCCGTACCCCTCAGATCCCTGCCTCCCCCCTGGACCAGAGCCGCCAGTCCTGCTCTAGTCCCCAGCCCCCTCCAATCCCCTCCTGGTCCTTGGTCCTCGCCTCTTCCTCCCGAGGTGTGGTTCAGAGAACACCCCCTCCTCTCCTGTGCTCCCCCAATTCACTGAACACAGAGCTTCCAAAAGACTGAGCGCCCCACAGGCCAACTGGGCAGCTGCGGAGTCTCTGGTCTGTTGAGGTCACTTTCCCCTGGGCTGCCAGGGAGCTCCTCCGTGACCCTCTGGGCCCAGCTCCACTGCCTCATCGGGCGGCCTTCCCACTGTCTGCACGGCTGGGCCTCTCCCGCGCGGCCACCGGGAGGCAGGGGACACAGCTGCTGGTCTCTCCTCCCCCGAGCCCAGCATGGGGACTGGGGAATGAGGAATGTGGGGGGCTTGTCATCCAAGGACACAGGGGAGGTAGGGCAGGCTTCCTGAACCTCACTGTTCCAGAGGGAATATGACGGTGGGGGATCTGTGGCCAGGATGACAGGCCTCTAGAAAGAAAGGATGGAAGACCCGACCCTCAGACACCTCTGAGGAGGCCTTTGCTGTGTCTGACATCTGGTGTCTCACCCCCCCCCCCACCCCCATCCCCACTTGGGGAATCTCCACCTCTGCCCCCAGCCAGGCCCACAGTCAGAGCCTGGCACCAGGGAGCCCTTCCCTGCCGTCCCCACCTCAGAAGGCCAGCTCTTCCCAGGGTCACAGAGGGTGAAGAACACGGGCTTTAGAACCAGACAGACTAGGCTGTGAATCTAAGCTCTACATTCATGAGCTGTGGGAACACAGCCCCCAAGTCTCAGTGTTCTCATCTGTAAAATGGAAAAGTTGTGAGAACTCGTGCTCAGGCCCCACCCAACTTCTCCATCCTGCGCCCTGGGCGGTGTCTGACCCGCTAGCCCCTCCTGCTGGTGCACCCAACACTCCCTTCTCCACCAGACGGGAATCTTCCCAAGGCCATTGATTTGTTTAACCCCAGCGGTTCACATCGCCCCTGGCACAATCCTATTGGCTACCATTCATCTGTGCCCAGCGCGTGCCAGGCACCACGTTACTGCACACCTATCCTCCGACAGCCCTGGGGGGAGGTGTCATCATGCCCATTGGACTGATGAAGACACCCCACCTCTGGGAAGGCAAGTCACTCGCCCAGGACAACATGTCCAAGCTCACAGGTGGAGACTGATTTCCAAAGGCCTTGGTTTCCCACGGTGTCGGCTGCTTCCCCAAGAAGGTGGGATGAAGGGATGAATCCGCGGTGTGATCAGCTGGTGATTGCCCGGGTGAGGGAGCGAGTAAGTGAGCGAGTTACAGTGACTGACCGGGCAACAGAAAGAAAGAAGGCGCGGATGACTAAGCGACCTGACTCGAGTGGATGAAGTTATGACCGTGCAAACGCCCCGACCGTCACACAGCGGGGCTGGAGATAGATGGGGTGCCTGGCGACCTGTTGAGACCCACACCCCCGCAGCGAGGTCTGTGTGTGATTTAATGTTGGGGGAGAAGGAGGAGCTGCCTGACAGAGAAGAATTGCACCAGGTCCAGCACAATTTCTCACTGCCAACGAATTAATCGAGCTTCATTGAGGAGGCCAGGCCAGGAAATCAGGGGAAGGCTGGGACTTTGACATCATCTAATTAGGGCACACGCTGTGCCTGGTGGGTGGGGGGCTGGCGAGAGCCCCGGGGCACCCCACTGCCCCACCCTGTCCCTGGACTTCACCTTTTACCCTGAACACTGACAACAGCGGACCTCAGCGGAACCTCCGGAACCAGCAATTGGCAGCCCAGGTCACAAAGGGAGAGGACAGAGGCAGAGGGCAGGGGACTCCCAGGCCCTTCCTGGGTGTCCAGAACTTCCCACAGCTTCAGAAGCAGCGTCGTGTGGGGAAACGAGTGTGGACATGGGGCTCACGATATGGGATGTGAGTCCTGTCCACAGAGTGGGTCCCAGCCAGGCTGGCTCTGGCTCAGCGGAGCCGAAATTAAACTACTGCCCGGCCATGTATTAGCCGTGTGGTCTTGAGCAAGTTGCTCAGTTCTCTGAGTCTCCCCTTCTTCTCACTGCACCAATGGGTTAACAAATTAAGTGACACAATGAAAGGAGGGGCCTAGCGAAGTGCTTGCCCAAAGCAAGTATTCCATACATGTTAGTTACTGTCCTCTGCATGTGGCCATGATAGCCTGATGACCTGACAGAACAGGGGTCCACCATCATTTCCTATAGAGAGCCAGACAGTAAACAGGTTTTACTCTACAGGCTGCAGAGTAAATCACTCAAAAGCAGACAACGACAACACCTATGCAAAGGATCACGGCTGTGTTCCAGTAAATCTTTATGACTCAAAAATTTGAATTTCACATCATTTTCATGTGACACAAAATGCTGTTATTCTTCTAATTTTTTTCAACCATTTATAAATGAAAGAACATATATTCTTAGCTCCTAGGTCAGATAATAGCAAAAGAGGCAGCAGGCTGACCTTGGCCTACGTCTGTCACTTGCCACCGCCTGCGCTAGAATGTAAGTTCTATGGGGACAAGGGCTTTTGTCGGCTTTGTTCACTGCTGTTCTCCCAGCACCTAAAACAGTGCCTGGCAAGTAGCAGATAGTCAATAAATATTTGCTGACTATTCATTAGGTATCAGTCACGTAACCTCTCTAGGCCTTGGTTTCTTCATCTGTACAACGGGGATGTTTGCACACTGAGGCCAACATCAAATGAAAGGAGAATGCTAGCTTTGCAAGCTCTACAGCTGCCATACAATGTAGTTGCTGTTTCTGACCACACGGGGGCTCTTCTCAAGGAACGCTCTCCCCCTCATGACAATCCTGAAGCATCCCCTCTCTGCCAGGCACGGAGTGGGAATGAGAGTTGCCTGTGTATGGAAAGAAATCGGTCCTGGAGAGGGGAATGCCCAGGTAGGGACACCTTCTCCTGTGCCAGTTGGCCCGGCCAGCCTGGCTCAGTGGTTGAGCATCGACCTATGAACCAGCAGGTCACGGCTGTGGGCTTGACCCCCAGTGGGGGCGAGCAGGAGGCAGCCGATCAATAATTCCCCCTCATCATTGGTGTTTCTATCTCTCTCTCCCTCTCCCTTCCTCTCTGAAATCAATAAAAATATATATTTTTTTAAACTGCCTCCAGCGTCCAGCCTTCTGGTAAAGGTTTTCCACTCTAAACAAAAGGCCCTGCTGTTTTTCTTCCCCAGGTTGAGCATTTCCTGCTGCTTTGCAAACTCTCTGTAGCCAAGAAATCGGAGAACTTATGATTCTAGTCTGTTCTATTTTCTCCTCTTACCCTGCCAACCAGCATGAAAGAAGATGAGAACACCCCATGGGCCATTTACCAGTGTCCAAGGGAAGATTTTACAAAAGAAGCGAGAACTGTTCAGCACACGAAGCTGGAGACTCCTGATGTGTTTACTCCATGGATTCTGTCTGTCTGTCTCTCTCACCATCGCCCCCTGCTCCATTTGGCCATCCAAGCAAGCACACACATACCAAGGCTTCCCACCCCGTGGGAAGGGGGCGCTCTGCCCAGAGGGCTGGCACTCGCTCCTCCACCACATGGCTGTGTGACCTCAGACAAATCACCTCCCCATTCCGAGCCACAGCATTCTCATCTATACCACGAGCAGACTCCCCACATACCCTCCATCCTCAGCTAAGAGCACCTCTGAGCCCGTGGTGCTGTGACCCTGCCCGACAAGCTGAGTACATTTGGGAAGAAGCAGGATGATCTGTCCAGGAGTCCAGACCAAACTTTAGAAGCTGGAGGAGAATGCAAGTCTCCTGGGCAGCCTGAACCAGCCTGTGGGACACGACGCAGAGAAAGGAAAGCAGTTTGCTGGCCCATCCCCATTTAGACCAGTCACAGGAACAGACTCAAGGTACCTATCCCCAACCCTGCAAGCACCACAATTGTCACCGGGACACACCAGGCCTTTCTACCTCTCTTCCATAAACATTTTCAGCATCTTTCCTTGAAACTAGCCCCCACTACCCTCCTGGCTGAAGTCCCTGAGGACCCGTCTGCAGGCTCGGACCCACTCAGGTCCCCGTGGAGGAGCAGCCCCAGCCCTACAAACTGGGGTGAGTGCAATGGCCGGAATTGGTCACATTGCCTAGGTTGGTCTAACCCCACCCAACCCTGTGCCTTGCTGACCTGGCATATGCTTGGACTTAGGCTTCACTTTCTCTTACCCAAACTGTCTAGTCTCCAGTTTTGGTGGAGCCCCACCTGTTTGACAAGGCACCTCGTACCCACCATGCTCTTGCCCATTCTGCCCCCCGAGGAGCTGGATCCTCCCCTCCTAGGGTCCTGCCATGAGTGAAGAACCAACCCCCTGACCCTGGACACCACTCCCACCCAACTTGCTGCCTCCAGTTCAGTTCCACCCACTGACTCTGTTCCATTCCACCCAGGAAATGCCCAGTGCCCCTTTGGACCCTGCCTTTCCTGGTCCAGCTCCTCAGTCCCTATTCCCTTCCCATCTGCATCACCTCCCATGGCCAAGATCCCAGCAGCCCCGTCCGGATGATGCCTCAGAAAAGGAGGGATTCGGGGACTTGCTCCATGAAGAGGCCCAGGTGGCCACCAAGAGGTCTTTTCTCCCATCTACCCACCTGGGACCTCAGGCCCCGCCCAGCCAGCTGCACTCTTACCTTCTCCAGCTGGTGGACACCCTCCTCTACGCAGCAGATGGAGGCCAGCGTGCGGAGCGCCTGGGGGTACAAACACCGGAAACTGTCCTGCCGGCAGACCTTGAAGAGGGCTACGACCCCACCCTCCTGCCAAGAAAAGGAACATGGCACATGACCTCACCGTGTGACCTTTCCTGGGCTGACTCAGAAATAAATAACTGACACCTCTCCTCACTAAGCAGGGATGGTTTGAGTCTGCAGGGTGGCAGAAGAGGGCACCCCAAAATATGCCACCTTGGCATAAGGAGTATTTTGAACTGAAGACAATTGGGAAGAAGCAGATACAAGAAAAAATATCTGCCAGCCTTCTATTTGCCTAAAAACAGGACATACATTTATGAAATTATTTCCCCCTCTCCTTCCTACTGGGAAGGACAAAGTTAATAACCAGAGACAACTTTAGACCTTCGTCAGCCTGCCATGGCATCAGAGGAATCTACACAACAAACTTTCCTACCAGCCTTTATCTACAATTGGTTCCCCAGATATTTGCCTTCCCACAGTTAGCTGCCCCAGAGACTCAGGGTCCTTTTTCTTTGTCTTGTCACTTCTTTAAAAATGCATTATTCCTTTGCTAAGATTCCAGTTTTCACCAACTCTGAGTTAATGATCTCTGAGCGCTCCCATGTGTAAGAGCTAATACACTGCTGTTTGTTTTTCCCTTGTTAATCTGTCTTTTGTCAGCCCATTTCACAGGGCACCAGCCAGAGAACCTCGGAAGGTGGTAGATAAAATAATTTTCTCCTCTGCACACACAGGCATACATACACACTCCCATGCTCACATGCATGCTGCAGTAACATGCTCGCTCCAGAAACAAT